CAGCATTCAATTTTCTAAATGCTAAGGCCCCCAGTGGGGTCTGCTTGCCCAGTGCTCGTCTATGGGCAGTCGGGTCTAAACAGATATTGTCCATTTACACCCGGCCCCCCCAACTCCGGTCAGATCCAGACAAGACAAATGGAGCAGTGTTCCGTTTTGACAGACCTAATCATGCTGGATTGGGGGTAATCCGATATAAATTTACACATGTACGTTTACATCCGATTCCCCATAGATAGACATGGGTCTGGTCATTTAGGTTTTCTCCTCCATTGCAAAATGGAGTAAAAAAATGGACGTCACAACGGTGAAATCTGATTCGTACCACTCGGCTCAGAAGGGGGCCTGTGCATGGATCCCCTCCTGAACAGACCGTGGGAAAAGGGGCCTAACTGATGTGCCTAAAATGCCCAATAATGCAGCTCAGTATTCAATAATAAATCCTTAGATGTCATTTTAAATACATTAATATACAGAGCTATAAGGTGTGCCCAGAGGTAACACCATATGGAAATAATAATAAAGTGCAGTATGCAACTGGTCCTAATAAATGAATACAAATAATGGCAATAAATAGAGGACCTCAGAGCAGTGGTTCTCCTGTGTAGCCTCAGGACTCACATTTTTCCTTGGTTATCAGCACAGCACAGGAACACACAGCATTGCGGTACCATGCGTTCCGGTGCGGGTGATCGAACTGTGGGCCAAAAGTGCATTTGAGGTGCCATTCAAATGAATAGCAACACATCTCCCATCCTAGAACATGCCATAGGTGCGATTTACGTTGTGCAATGCGTTAATCACATAGGATTGTGCGATTAATGCACTGTACTAGTAAGAACGGGCCCTCAAAAACACTGACGGTCACACACAGACACAATCTCACACACTCAGACATTCTCACACATATTCACACTCCAAAACTGGAGTGGAGCCTGGGATCCAGTGTGGGCTGCTGTGCTGTAGCTCCATCCATATGTGACTTGCTTGTACAGCTCTTTTGCGTCCCCTGTAGAGGTGTCGGGAGCCAGAATGTGACATCACTCCGGTCCAGGCACCTGGGCAGGATAGGCGAGGGAGCTGTAAGCACGTATGGCTACCCCCAGCCCACCCCACCTCAAGCTGACACTCAGCGCCAGGCAGCATATTTTGAATGACTGGTCAGCGCGAGAATTGACAGTGCTGCTTTAGGCCCCATTCACACGTAGCGATTTCCGCCGCGATATCGCGCATTTTTGCCGCGTGATATCACGAGAAGTCACCGGCTAATGATATTCAATGGAGCTGTCTTAGCAAGTCGCAAGTTGCCAGTTGGATATATTGCATGCACATGTGCTGGCGAGGGGGAAGCTGACAGGAAGAGTAGAGTGAGCGGAGGGATGATCTAACTCTGCTGCTGCTCTTTCACTATCCAATCAGTAGGTTTGGGGGGTGGAGAGATGACACTACTGCACCCCTTAAAAGAGAACTAAAGCCAAACATTTTTTGGCTTTAGTTCTCTTTTGGGCCACGAAAGAACATTTACTAATGTACTCCTGTGACCCAAGGTCAGCATATAGCGGCCTACTGCCAGTTCAGAACCACGCTGCAGCCAGGAAAGATCGCCACAGTATTGTCGGGATCCACCCCGCTATCTGATTGATAGCTGGCTCTGACTCTCTAAAGCCAACTGTGCACACCCCCTTCCCTGTCTGTCCCTCCAATGAGTGCTGAAGGAACAAATAGGGGAATCCCTGCAGGGAGTTGTGAATGACAGTCGCCTCTCTCTGTGCAGGGAGAAGGCAGTGAACTTGGTAATCAGCAGTTCATGATCGCTCAATTCTCGATCACAGATGCAGTGTCACACCCCGACTCTATTACAGCTATTGGGAACAGTATATTTTGCTCTCCCAATAGTTCTCCCTTAACTGTAAAAACGGGAGTGGTGTTATCATCCTGGCTGTACTATTTGTTAGGGCTGAAACGGTAAAACAGCGCCCATATATGTATTTCATCTGTGTAGTTAGATTTTTGCCTGGAGTTTAGAATTAAATATTTAAAGCCCAACTTCGGCAATTACGCAAAAACTACTTTTGCAGAGTTCAGCATTAGATATTTAAAGTACAACCCAGGGAATTACACAAAAACTATTTCAGTGGGTCCCCCCACATTACGCTAAGTATTACAACTTGTTGTTCACTTAACAAGCATTTAACCCTTGCAACCTGGTGAGTGTGTTGGTTGGTATATGATCATTAAGTTCAGGGGTTGGCGTCAAAGTGTAATATTTACTATACTCCTCACTTGGTGCTCTCCTCTTCCTCTCTAATGCTCTCAAGTTGTGGACTGTCCCTCACCATCCTCATGTACAATGCAGGGCTATTTTGCTTTTTGATGACGTCCAGCGTGCAGCTACTGACCTGAGTGTCTTAGAGTAGAAGCTTCGGGGGCATGATCAACAGATGAAGGGAGTCTTTTGGAGCAAAGAATTAGGTAAGTATTACACCTGATTCTTCAACCTCCAATTTAGATTGCAAGCTCTGAGAGCCAGGCCCCTCCTTACCATCTTGTTTTGATTTGTATTGTAACTGTAAAGTCTTCCTTATATTGTAAAGCGCTGCACAAACTGTTGGCGCTATATAAAGCTGAATGATAATAACTCCTGGACTTAATGAGCATTTAACCCTTCCAGTGTGGGAAGGGGACAACCCACTGCAAGGGTCGTTTTTGTGTAATTTTCGGAGTAGGGATATAAATGCATACTGACCTGTCTCCACAAGGGGGCACTGAAGGATCATTTTCACTTTTCTGGGTTAAAATATTCCAGTCCCATACTATCTAACGTGCCCAAATTTTTACATAACATTTAACTCGGATACATGTATTTCTGTTTCCTTTTCTTGTGGTTGCATACAGTATTTGGGCATACAATTTCATTGGGAAAGTTAAATAGCATAGCATATGTCTCCTTATCGTCAGCCTTAAAGGGTCAGTCCACAACAAAAGGACTACATTTGTTTAGGTTTAGCTGTTGAACCATGAATTAGCTTTGTGTATCTCTTAAGACATAGATGTTCTGCATGTACATTCCCAGATCCACTGACCTGCAGACATTATTTGCTGTCTGGAATTTTATTTAACGGATAATTGACGAAGAAATGAAACTCCACTGGAGGTTTGCATTGCACTAATATGAAACTCCTCCTCGCTGACATTTTTAGATGCCAGTGGGCAAATCCAGCATGTCAGCTTACAACTGCATTCAGCTATTGGTGTTGTGTTGTCTAACCTTGGTAACTCTGCACAAGAATCTGAAATACCTATTGTGACCCATAGAGAAGGTTTGTAGTTTGTCAGTTAATAGGGATGAATTGTAGCCTCAGCAGTCTGCAGTCTATGGAATGCTCTCATAAATGCCGCATGGCCTGAGTCTATGTTGCCTGCGTCCATGTTGCCTGCGTCCATTTTCTTTACTTAGATATGTGTTTTTTCTGCTTAGGGTACAATGAATGGAGTAAACAGAGGTTGGTGAGGAAAATCTCAGAGCTGGAAAAGGTGAGATCTATAATATAGCATTTCATAACCTTTCGCACACCAATCAAACAAACTTTGTAATACTGCAGAAGATTTTAAAGTGTATGTAAACCATAACAATTAACTTCTCTAATTTCTTCAAGTTGCCTAGTTTGGGAGCTTTGGGTGACGGGAGGACGCTAGTTTGTGTCCTCCCGTTACCCTAAGGAGAACTATGGGGAAAAACACTGACCCCATAGTTCTCCTTTAAGCGAAAAGGAGCACCAAACTAACTTTTTAAGAGCCAATAAATGTATTTTATTGTTGCCACATATGGCAGAAGGATAACATGAGACTGACCAACTCATTTCGGGGGCTCAACAGTTTTTTTTAGCTCATTGTCACAAGATCTAATTGACTCAAAACTAGTCAAGCCCGGGCTTGTATGTCAAAGCCAGGATGCCAATATTAGACGGCTGTGCAGGCAGCTTAATGTGAACAATATGGATAATCTTCTATGCGTATCCAGCCAACTTGTAGGTAGGTGTACCTTACATATGTTTAGTAATGACAATCTACAAAGTGATACTTCTAGATCATTGCCGGCTTTGTATTCTTTGCATACTTTATTTTTCTTTTCTTCCCTGTTCTTCTCACAGTGGCCATTTTTACAAAGGGCAGATTCATCTATATCCCTTTACTTCCTGGAACCCTGGCACATGTGACTAGGACATGTGACCATGCACATCGTCTCAGGGGATAAAAATTAGATCTCATGAGATTACAAATGTGATTTCCCAGCGATGCCCTGCTGATGTAACCTTCCCAGGATGCATTGCTTGGACATATTACATCACTAATGCCTAAGAGCAGGGGTATCCAAACTCCGGCCCTCCAGCTGTGGCAAAACTACAAATCCCATATTGCATCTCTCTCCGGGAGTTGTGGCTGTGAGAATCATGCAATGCCTCATGGGATTTGTAGTTCCACCACAGCTGGAGGGCCAGAGTTTGGCTACCCCTTCCTAAGAGGATCAGGAAGTGGAAAAACAGGTAAAAGGAAAATATGTTTGTTTAACTAATGAATGTAAGATGATTTCAAATCAGCATGCAGAGTTGCATGCTGATGTCATTTTTAGTGAAAGGGGGTAAAGGTCCGCTTTAATAAACATATGCAAGAACTTAGCAGCAGAATAAAGTTCATCATGCCCAACCAAGATGTTGCCTTCCAACTTCATCAGAAGCTGTAACACCAGTCAAAGGTATTATATGATGGTTGCTGGTTGCCTGATGACTATTGGAAAGTTCTATGAATTACAGCAGACTAAGAAGGAGCAGCAAAACATATGTCATTCTTAGGAGAACTATGGGGTCAGTGCTTTTCCCCATAGTTCTCCTAAGGGTAACGGGAGGACACAAACTGCAATCCTCCTGTGACCCAAAGCTCAGTATATAGCGTGCTACAGCTCGCGGTATACTGAGACGCCGCAGCCGGGACGGATCCCGACATCACTGTCGAGATCCACCCAGCTGCGTGATTGACAGCTGGCTCTGCCTATCTAGAGGCAGAGCCAGCTGTTCCCACCCCCTGCCCCGTCCGTTCCGCCAGTCAGCACTGGAGGATTGGACAAGGGAGGGGGGAATCCCTGCAGGGAGCCGTGAGTGACAGTCACGGCTCTCTGCAGGGAGAGATCGAGAAGTGAGCGAGCGCCGGTATATGTTCGCTCACTTCTTGATCTATTGAGCCGACCTGTGACAGTTTCATGGTCACAGGTCGGCTAGAACTATGAGGTGAGTGATTTTCACTCGCCTCATAGTTCTCCTTTTAAATGAAAGAATCATTTTCTCTTCTTTAGAAACTAGAAATAGCAGAGAAGTCCAATCCATCTGCTCCAGAACTGGACAAATCCACTCGACCTGGTGCTATTCCAAATGTTGATGAGGTAGATGGACCAACACCCAAACTTCATGAAGAATGTGAGAGGCTGCGGAACATACTGAAGAAAGTAAAGGAAGATCGATCTGCGTTACAGGAGAGGCTTGCCGCTAAGGAGTGAGTGCGCTGCTTGTTGACGTCAGTCACGTAATGTATTTTAATAGATAAATGCAAAACTTAATCCAACTTTCTCTTCCAAAGATCAGACATCAGAAAACTGCAACAAGAAAAGACAGACATAGAGGGGAAGCTGCAAAGGTTGCAGGACAGGAAAGACGAGAGGTGAGACTCAGTTGAAAGCACTTGTGGGTCATCAGAAGCAGCCGTTTGTGAGCTGAATGGTTGCAAATGAGAGGATAATGGGCCATTTATATGAGTGTAATAAGCTGGGCCTCAGGATTCCATGATGTCATTAGCCCCCAATAGCTGATAGGTCATAATGTTTAAGAGGGCATCTGCTAAGCACTAAAATTGCCACATATCAGAACTCCATTGCACCTGCTTAAAATATGATGTACCTGACTGTGGTACATCATATATATCATATATCTATGCATGATGTACATCATAAACATCATATATACCTGACTGTGGTACATCATATATATATATCATATATCTATGCATGATGTACATCATACACATCATATATACCTGACTGTGCCTGTACTAATCCACCACTTCAGCTTTGTATCTTCTTCTTTGACAGCCATTCCATCTACTCTGCAAAGCAGAACTGAGTAACCAGGCTGTCAGCATTCCTGCATGAGCATTTAGGTCATGTTTTGTGTCACGCGTCATACACTTAAAGCTGAAGTCCAGGCAAACAGCTGCAATGGCCATAATAGATTGTTGCTTTCTTGAAATGTTTGGTTTAGATACTTGTGCAGAATTTTTTTTGCTGCACATTAAAGCTCGGGGCAAACATTTTCTTAACCCTTGCAATGGGGCTACCCCCAGACTGTAAGAGTTAAGTGCTTGTTTTTGTCTAGGTGCTAAAAGCTATATGCACCCAATCCTCTGAACCCGTTTGCTCTAAGACCGGTCCCTGGAGCCTTTCTCCCCTTCCTCTGCAGCACCCTTCCTTGAGTTATCACATACTATATACAGTGTATAGAACATGAGGCTGCAGAGAAACATACCATCATTGCAGCGGAGGAGGAGACAGGCTTCAGAGACCGGAGTAGCAGCCAGCTGGCTCCACGGTTCAGGTTATTATTATTATTTTTTTGTTTTTAGCATCTAGACAAAAACAAGTACTTTACCTTGCAGTGTGGGGGTAGCCCCCCCCCCCCCCCCCAAATTTAGAGCGTAAAA